ATCTATCTATCTATCTATCTATCTATCTATCTATCTATCTATCTATCTATCTATCCATCTATCTTCTATCTATCTGTCAGTATCATCTATAACTAGCTATCTATTATCTATCTATCTATCTTCTATCTATCTTATGACTAGTCTTCACATTTATGATTGTCTGCAGTCACATGGTCAATTTTGGGTACTTGGCAACCAGCATGAATTCACAACAGTTGCAGCATCTTTAGGTCATGTGATCGAATTTGCTTAACAACTGTGCAAAAAAAAATCATAAAATCAGGAGTGATTCACTTAATAGCTTTATTATTTAGTGACAAAAGTTCCAATCCCAATGTGATTGTAAATTGACGACTACTTGTACAGTCCCACATCTGCTATCTAAAGCAAGAATCACTAGTTATGGTGTTTTTAATTACATTCAAGGAACTATATTTTAATGGACTATTGGTCCATTGTGTGTATGAAATGAATCAACATGAAGTTGTGTTGGCTATTTAGACATGGAGCTCACAATCTCCTGACAGTGTGTTAACCATGGGAAAGTCTCCGGAACCCTGAATAGCTGTCATTTTCCAAGAGTTTTTTTCTGTCCAAATCGATACAACAGATTGGTCAAGCTACAGATTCTGTGATACAACTAGAAGATGGGCTTTTTCTGCTGTAGCCCCTGCTTTCTGGAATATTGTCCCCTCGGAGATTAGAATGGACCCAATTGTTGACCTTTCGCAAGGTTTTAAGAACTTGCCTGTCTACCAGGGCCTGGCTCTTGCAATGTGTTAAAGGCCTCATTTGTTAAAGGCTATCAATTGATTAAGCATCATGGCTGCTGTTTGTACTTATTTATTTTGTGAAAGTTTTTATTTTTTCGATGTTTTTAAATTGTTTTATAGTTTTATAAATGTAAGCTTCCCAGAGTCATTGGTTGAGTTATAGAAATTGAATAGATGAAGAAATTAATGAAGAAAGAAAGAAAGAAAAAAGAAAGAAAGAAGAGAAAGAAAGAAGAGAAAGGAGAGAGGAAGGAAGAAAGGAAGTCGTGACTAGATATACATGCATACACAAACATACACATGGCATGCTCACATGCATATGTTTAATAATTTCCCCTGCAACTATACAAAGTGAAGTCCCAGTGAGACAGAGGTGTTTGTGTGTGTGTGTGTGTGTGTGTGTGTGTGTGTGTGTTTGTGTGTTGCAAATGCCCTTCCTTTCCTTCTCCACCCCAATGGAGAAAAAGCTTTTTAGGCTTTTAGATGCTTGAGTTCTTAGCTCCCCTACGGACAGCAAACTAGTAACTGTTTAACAGCTAACATCAAATGTTCTGCAACTAACGGTGTTCCATACTCATGAATTTTAAAATCTTCTACTTAAACGATCCCCTTAATATTTATTTCCTCATTTACAAGTTATGTTATACAAGGAAAAGTGAATTCAAGATTTCAACTGGAATGGCTCCTCGGCTAAATGCAAGATACAATTGAGTCATTTATATACAAAGTTTCACACATTCAAAGAATGGTGAGAGAGTGGAGGAGCTCTGCCTATTCACGGGTGCCAATAAGCATCCTAGACAGACACATTCATGTCAAGATGTCTGGTTCCCATTTGAAAAGGTATCTTCATGCTCTCTTCCACAGAAGATGCTGTTTAAATACTTTTTTGTTTTTTTAAAAAGGTCAATATACAAAGAAAAAAACACAAAAACAGACAGTGGAAGGAAAAATCATACAATAAAGCTTGGAATCAGCAATATATTTAGAGAGTGGATTCAGTGTAACTAGCCAAATAAGATTAGTCAGATTTCCCTGAGAAAGTATTTCCACAGTTTGGGGGCTGATGTGCAAAAGACATACAAAATATCACCATCTTCATATTTCAGAAGAAGGAGGAAAACTTGGGGAGGGAGGGACTCAGTGTTTCCTTTCACCAAAAGAAGCTTTTACAACAGACTGGTCAAAAACAATAAACTAACCTTACCGCTTACGTGACAAGATCTCTTGTCATCTCCCAAAGAATAGCCTGGCATACAGGAGCAGATAAAGGATCCAGGGACATTGAGGCAATTTTGGCTACAAATCTGGATCCTACCTTCCAGACATTCGTCTATATCTGAAAAATAGTAATGTATAGATCAGAGCAGAAATAAGACGTTTGCAAATGTTTTCCTATGTATCGCCTAATGATATCAGTGCCTTGATTAGTGAAGATGCATTTCAATTCCTCTAGTTCATGGGTGTCAAACTCGATCACGTCAAAAGATGTATTGTGGTGTATCATGACTTCTTTGCCTTTGTGGAGCCGGGGTCGACGTGGCCAGCCTATGATGCATCTGGACCACGAGGTACCAGTTTGACAGGCCTGCGAATAGTTAAAACAGCATTGGGGACTGTATATGTCTAAATAATGCTGATGTTTTTCCAGAGCAAAATCCATCTTTTTATGCAAGTGCTCTGATCCATCAGGATGGCTTTGACCATATTTATAACGAAGCAGGTGTTCTATTTATATTGCTTTGCATCTATCGTTTAATAGTTTCCAGTGAACCAAAGTGCAGAGCACTTATTTTGAACATTGCTTACGTAAATGCTTATGCATTTGACATATTATTCCAATACTTCATAATGCATCTCTTTTTTGAAAAAAAAATCATTTCACGGTGATACATATTGTATGATCAGGTGATCAGAAGGATTACTGCATGAGTCCTTGGCCTGTTTCCCCACCTATCCCAATCCATTCTCCAACATAAGAGCTTCATTCAGTGGTGGGTTTCGGATCCCGTTGCAGCCAGTATGGTGCAATGGGGCCCAGCGTCTCCCACATGCACACGTGCAGCATGCACGCACATGTGTGCAGCATACACATATGTCCTTACCTCTACGATGCCTCCGTGATGCTCCAGCTGCTTGGCGGATGGTTTTCCCATCTTTTCTTATTAGAAAATCTGTGTTCTTACCTAGGCTTCCTAAGAGCATGAAGCAGACTCCTCGTTCCAATAAAACCTCTTTTATTTAGGAATTCCTCTCCAGCAAAGTCCCAGCAAACAGTCCTTCATGAGATTTCACAACTACAGATCTTTATCGGGCTTGGACAGCTGCCAGGCCGATATCTTCCAAACGCCACTCTGTAGCAGGCTGACTTGGCAAGAAGTCAGGAACAGATCTTCACCCTAATGAATTGAACTAATTGTCTCCTGCAAACTTCACTCCCCTTTTGCTCTTCTTTATTCCTTCTGGGAAGGGCCATTCACCGCCCACCATTTACTCCCAGGTTGGCCCTTATTCCTTAGCTGTTCCCTTCTCCTGGCAGCTCTGTGCATGTGCACATCAGAACAGGCTCTAGCTGTTCTTCTGCCCCACTGATATCTGACTCCAAAGGCAACTGATAACTGTCGGATGGCCCTAGCCACATCTCTGCCTCCAACGCAGAGCACTTATCAAAGCATTCCCAGACTCCGGGACTGGCCCACGTTCCTCCCCAACCTCCTTACTGTTTGAGTCACCAACTCCGCTGGCAGGGCACAACAATCTGTTTCTTATTTCAGAGTTGGGCAGCTGTGTTATTTAGTAGCCAAATCATGCTTGGCTACTACATTAGTTAACCCAATATATTTTTAACATCACCTGCTTGGGCAGGATCCAGTCTAGGTCAGTCACCTGGACCAGAAATTTTGCCTTTCAAGTTTTTGGACTTGTGCTGGAGCCCATCTTCAGGGAACTCCTCTCCAGCAGACAATGTTAAAGAGAAGGTCCCTGAAGATGGGTTCCAGCATGAACCCAAAAATTCGGAAGAGGAAACCTCTGGTCCCGCTCAATGACCTAGATTACCGTAGATCTTGTAACATTATCCTGGGACACGTATATTTGCCTTCATCACCTGCTTCTCTTTTAGTCTTGAAGTGAAGCAGCTGCAGCTAACAAAAAAGTCAGTCTACAAAAAAAACTTGACAGGCAGTAGTGAAAGAAAGCCCCAGTTTCTGCTCTGTATGCTCAAAAGCCTCTTTATGCCATCTCAGCAGAGACAGCCTGAGAGAATGAGTCTAAATAATGAATCACGTCTTTGCAAAGCTGGCAGTAAAATTCAGAATCCTTAGACACAAGGAACTACATTTACCAAGAATAAAAAGCAAAGTTCCAGTTACAGAAAGTGAAACATTAGTATGCATGGCATGAAGACAGAGAGACTCACTAGGGGACTGCAAAGCAAATCACAGTCCTTTCTAATAAATACAGAACCTCAAAACGAGCAAAGTTTGGTGCAACTTTGAAATATACTTTTGAAAAAACAGAATTTCTAGGCTTGTTGGGAAAAGGAGTTTTCTGTGGCACATCCTGTCTTTTGTTTGTTTGTTTGCGTTTGTTTGTTTAATTTGCCTATAATGATTTCTGTAGCTCAAGGTCTCTCAATTTATGTGAGCAATTTTTTTTATTCCACAATAAACCTATGTGAGAGTGAAATTTTGAGTCATGAGCAATAAAATTCCCCTCCAGACACTGAGCAGAACTAGAAATAATAACAGTACTAACCCCTAAATAATAACCCAAGTCATTTGTACAACTTTCAAATGTAACAAATGCACTGACTTTTCATTTTCAGCAACAAATAACACCACAAAACATTTTGCAATAATAACAAAGGAAGTCCCAAAGGAGCATTGTTTCAAGAGGCAATTGGACTTACTGGTTTTTCTTTGAAGATGTTTCGCTTCTCATCCAAGAAGCTTCTATGAGAAATGAAACATCTTCAAAGAAAAATCAGAAATTCCAATTGCCTCTTGAAAAAAGCATCTTTGGACAACCATGAACTGCATGACTGAGAATCTCCATATATATTTAGCAATAACAAAGGAAGTTTACACAAGACAAGTTATTAAACACTGTGATTCTATTAAGTATTTTTTTTGCTGAAAATTGAAAAAAATGAATTGGTGATTAATAGATTTGCTGTTTTAAAAAGTTGCACACAAAAAGAAGTTAATTATGGTACAGGTGTAATTAGGAATGAGATAGGATTGTTTGTAACTGCTGCAAAGAAAATTGGGAGTTGCTTCCTTATATACAGTATATTTTCTAATTTATATTTCTTAATCACACTTCTTAATTTCTCAAGTCACACTTTTTCTTTTCTCTAATATTACTTTTATGTTTATCTTTTATCTCTGATTGCACACCAGGTCTATAACATCTGAAAGGATGATCTAATAGCACTACTATGTAGCATCCAGTGTGTAGGATTGGAGTAAATGATGAATTGTTTCCATGACAGGCTGACAGGACCTTACAACTCAGAAATTCAATGAATAATAAACAAAATGGTCATGGAAATCCAACTTTAGATAGAGATGGACTGATGGACACTGGCTCTGAAAATATAGACCCAATAGCAGTGACAAATAAAACATAGTGAAACCATTTTACCAATAATAATTCATTTGATGAAAATGTATTGATTTTGGGACACTTTCCACTGAAGCAATCTAAGGAACAAGTCCCACAGGGTTCAAGGGATTTATTTCCAATTAAATGTGCATAACATTGAAGTTAATACACATTAAATGCATAGAAGCCTCTGGTTTTGTTGAGGTGTGTGACTATTGCTTCCATAATCCTCAAGCATAATACTTAAGTAGTCTGACCAATAATCAGGCTGAAGAGGTTATAAGAATTGTATCAAGTGGAGTAGCTACTAGGCAAGTTACTAGTTTAACAGCTATGCCACCTTCCCAAAGAAACTGCTAAAAACTAAACCGTGTAAGAATCAAGTCATTTTGCCAGATTATATTTCCCAGGTCAGATAAGTTGGCAAAACCAACTACACCTAAAATAATATAAACAATATAAACGATTTTTTGAACAATTACAATATAAAAATATTCAGGTACTTCAAGTCTTATCAGTATCAAATACTTAGTTTCTAGCATCTTACTGAGATTATATCAGATCTGAGGTGCAAATATCTAAACCATCACCAGAAAGCAAAAATTAGAGTCCAGTTTCTTCAAGAATAATCCTGATTTTTCCAGATCAACAGTTACATTTATTAAAATGTTTTTCATGGGCACTTTTATTTTGTTGACAAGACTTTGGGGGAAAGACTACAAGACCTGCTATCAATCAGTTAGATTATTGTAACGCATGTTGTGCATTTGCCAAATAAAAATAGACACAATTAAATAAAAGAAATAGCAACACTAACTAATACAAATGCAATAAGTCTCTGAGGCTGTCTGAAGTTCTAACTTCACTCACCAAAGCAAGAGGAATTTTCCTTCCCCATTTGGTATCCTCTGGGACAGTTTCTGACCTCCTGAATTGACAGATCGATAATACTCATTTTAAAAACAACTGGCAAAAATTTGGAAAAGAGAAACATCATTTTTAAAAGTTTGTTTTTTTTAAAAAAAATCTGCAGTAGTACACAGCTTATTTTAACTTTTGTCATACCCTGGCATAAAAAAATAGCAGGTGTAACAATTCTTCAAGATGCCCTCGTCTGTAATAACCAAAGAAATCTTGTTCCAGCTTGATTATTCATTCCTGCCTCATTGGACAACTGTGGTGCGGCCTTATCAGTAGCTCTGAAGAACTTAGAAGAAATTCCAGGGTGATTTCTTCAGTGCCTGTGCTTCCACATCCTTTTTATGTAATGGTGGGGGGTTCTTTTTTCTTCTTCTTTTTTTCCTTTTGGAAACCAAGTATGAAATGCCTGACCCACTTGTTACAAATTTAATGCGGCTTAAAACCAAAATACACGTCCAAGTCCCAGGACTGAAGCAAAGCAACGAATGAACAAACTGTTGAGGTCTCCAAAGATGTTAAGTAAAATGAAACAAAGTCAATTTCTAGGAGCCTTTCAAAATAATTCCTTTCTATCCGTTCTGCTGAAAGTGTTAGAAATCCTCCAGACACAAATCTCTGTTTTACCCTAGTGGTAGAAGGACTCTCCTCTTTATACAGCTTGTTCCCCAACCTCCCTTTCTTTTCTTTTTAGTGCCACTTGAGTGAAGCTTGTGTTTGCAAATAGAAACAAAGCCAACAACTTGCTGAAGTGAAGCCATCCACCCTGTCAGCAACCGGCTGAGACCCCCCTCTTGCTATAAATGCCTGATTAGGATGGCTGTGTGTTTGTGTCAGATTTTTTAAAAAAATAAAGTATTTAACGTAAAATGTTTTACTTTATGTTGCAGTAGTATTTACATTTACAGTTATTTGTCTTCTAATTCTTTTATCCCCCCCCCCATTGAAGCCAGTGGTTGAGAAAGAAAAAGTGCTGGAACCAGAGGTGAGTTTCTGCTGGTTCGCCCCGGATTGGCTCCACCCACCTACCTGGACGCTTCTGTACATGCGCAGAAGCGTCGCACGAGTAAACCAGTAGTTAAATAAACTGAAACCCACCACTGATTGGAACGACTAAAAATATAATAAATACAGGTAGTTCTTGATTTAGATAAGTTCATTTAATGACCATTCAAAGTTACAGCATTGAAAAAAGTGACTTATGACCATTCTTCACATTTACGACCATTGCAGCATTCCTGTGGTCATGTGATCAAAATTCAGATGCTGGGCAACTGATCTCATATTTATGATGATTGCAGGGTCATAGGTACATGTGATCATCTTTTGTGACATTTTAAGGTGCAAAATCAATGGGGAAGCCATATTCACTTAATAACCATGTTACTATTCTTAACTACAGGTAGTCCTCGAGTTAGGATCACAATTGAGCCCAAAATTTATGTTGCTCAGCAAAACATTTCAGTGAGTTTTGACCCACTTGATGACTTTTTTTGCCTCAGTTGTTAAGTGAATCACGGCAGTTTTTAAATTAGTAATATGGTTGTTAAGTGAATCACGGCAGTTTTTAAATTAGTAATATGG